ACGCAGGGCGCAGGGTGCCACGCTGCTGCGAGCGCGTCCTTGCGCTCGCTGTGTTACGGGCATGTGCAAGGGTGGCTCCGGATTGCTGCCAGAGTGCAGTTCATTAGTGTAACCTTCACCATAGATGTGCGCAAACTTGCTTATGCCTCATTTGAAAGGATAATCACTGGGGCTTATCTGAACATTAATGTTGAAAGATTGTCTTTTGTTTGAGCCTCTGAGGTACCTCCTGGGAGCATCACGGATTTCCCCTGAGCTCCTGTTTCCTGTCTGGGAGTAAAACAGTGCCTGGCACGGGAGCCTCTGTAGCTTTTACTAGTGCCACTTTAGCAGTGTCAGCATGCGCAGCTGGAGCAAAACACTTCAGGTTGATTTAGTTCCTTGGGTGCCTGCAACACTAGCGGCATTTCCACACATCAGCAGTGCCTCGGTTAAAACTTGCTTAGCTTGCAATGTAGGGAGCCAGATCAGAGCCACGGGCTGGGAAAATGGTCTCCAAAGTAAGTGTCACGCTTTGCCTTCCCTTCAGAAGGAACAGCACTGCTTGGAGACTTTATTCTTGGCCATGAGGAAAGCACCAGCATGACGACTTCCTTAACGCAGCATTCACTAGTGCCAGCATCTTTGTTGCCAAAGCATGTTTCTGTAGTGCCGAGAAAACATTTCAATGTCTGAAGGCTGACGTGGATGTGTCTAGCATCCTCCTGCTTCGCTTTGCAACTCAGAGCAGCCTCCAGCCTCCCTTCCCGCCCCCAGCCAAATACCCCAGCCCTGATTCCAGGTACACAAGCATTGCAGTCGAGCCTACAGCTTTAGGTTTTTGCCGCATGAAAGGTGGGAGACGAGTGGGGATGGTTGAGGGGTGAGAGTCCCCAGGATTCAGGTGAATCCCAGGGATTTTCAGGGGATGGCACCCACAGCAGGGTGCCATGCCTCACAGCAGAGCATGGCAGACACCCAAACGGAGTGTTTGTGTTGCTGATGGATAATCTTTTAAGCTTTCAGATGCAAGCGTGTCAACCCAAGTGTTCCCGTTGCCTTGGCGACGCGATGCATTAGCTCCCGGATGCTGCGTCTGATCGCATCAGTCTGGAATGTGATCACCGTTTGTTTGTGCTGATAAGCCCCGGAGGGGCTGGGAAGGGGTGGGGGGAGCCGGGGGGGAGGGCTGCTCAGCTGCACTGGGGACACCCAGGAGGAGGGCGGCCGAGGCGCTCCAGTGGTGCGGGAGAAGTCCTGGGATGTGTGTGTCGGTGCAGGGAAGAGCTGCTCTGTGTAGCTTTTGATGGTACCAAGGGATGATTTTCCCCTTAAGATCCTTCCTTGGGAAGCTGTTAAATGGAAATCCCCCGCCAGACAGGTTAGAGGGTTGAGGGGGTAAAGGCTGCTGGTGGAGCAGCCCTACGCTCATCAGATTGGGAAGGGGAGAGGGACAGACCCAAACCTCCCAGGGCCTGGGACTGGAAGGGGCAGAGCTGCTTGGGGGCGAGACACGGATGTTTGCAGGTCCGGGGAGCAGGGAGCGTTGGCTGTTTGCTAGGTCTGTGCTCAGCAGGAGAAATAACACCTGAGTGCAGCAGGGCCGGTGCTAAAGACCCAGCCCTGCACAGCCAGCTCTTGCAGCCCGGTCCCGTCTACGGTGCTGAGCTACAGACAGGGCTGGCGAGAGCCAAAGTAGGAAAGGCAGAGCGGCGTGTGGCTCCGAGACGCCCAGAGCGAGCTCCCTCAGCCTGCTCGTGTGTCTGCTCAGACTCAGCACGCTTCGCCATGTGCCCCTTGAGGGTTTTCTTTGTTTAAGGGTTTTATTGCATTAATCAGATCCCTGGCTAAGGCGATTCTAGTGCCCGTGCAGGCTGAGTCATTCAAGAGCTTGTGAGCAAGCTGTGAGCTGGAAGCATCCCCCCTTGCTGTGGCTCTCGGGGATCCCGTGGCCGGTACTGGCTCCACTCAGCATTTTGCTGCTGGCTCGGGAAGTCTTTCTTGCAAGGGCAAAGCAGAGACCAAACTGCGGGGGGAGAGGTGCCTCCTTGTACAGCGAGGAGGGCGGTATTGAATCTTTTCCATCACTGTTTGCTCTTTCTTGCTTTCCTCCCATTTCTACCCTGCTTTTCCCTGTTCCAAGGATGCTGGAAGGCGCAGCCTGTGTTGGTACTCGTGATTCAGTGTGCGCAGCCCTGCCCTGGGCTCATCTCTAATAACTAGCTCAGAAAAAGCCCCCTGCACCTCTTGACCACAGTCAGCTCTTAAATTCATGAGGAACCTGATTTCCTCGGTGACCACGTGGCTCCTCTTTTGCTCTGACACAGCAGCGGTGCCTCGGGGAAGAGGATGTCCCTGGGGACCCCTGCAGATCCCCAGCAGGGGAAATTTGGGTCGGGGTGCTGCCAGCCCCAAAAAGCAGGAGCTGTGGGGCTGGGGGGCCATCCCGCGCATCGTCCAGCCCTCTCAGCCTGCTCTCTCCCCTTCCCTGCAGGGCTCTGCCATCCCTCGCGGCGCAAGGTAAAATGAACAAGATGAAAAATTTCAAGCGGAGGTTTTCACTCTCGGTTCCCCGGACAGAGACCATTGAGGAGTCACTGACGGAGTTCACGGAGCAGTTCAACCAGCTCAACAACCGGAGGAATGAAGGTAAGGAGCCCCCGGGCCCCTGCCACGGTGCTGGGGCTGGTCAGGAGCATCTGGGGTCAGCGCTGCCCGCAAGCATCTCCACTCCAGCCCCCCCGGCCTTTCTCTGGGTGTGTTGACATGTGGAAAGTTACTGCCCCTTTGTCGGTGTTGCTTTCCTCGTCTATCCAGCAGGATTAATAACACCTTGTCATTAAATCTGATCTGAAGAGAGATTTATAGTTGCATAAGGAAAGCCTTACAGGAGGAAAAGGTATTTGCACAAAACGGAGAGGAATGACACATCTGTGGTTGAGGTAGAGAGTGTGAAAGCGTGGGATCTCCTCCTGCCTGCCCAGAAGTGCAGAGCTCTTTGAGCCCTCTCTCCAGGGCTGGCAACTCCACCATCCAAAGGCGCTGCTCTCTCTGTTCAGGGGAGCATCTGGGGCTCTCTGAGCCGTCCTTTGCTCCTGGACCCACAGCCTTCTCCTGGCATGCAGTTTTCAAGGGAGCAGGGAGGTTTAGGGTTAACACCTGCATGAGCAGAACGGGGCACATCCCTTCTGCGAACAGAGCAGCCGCCTCACTGCAGGCTGGGGCAGGCTCTGCTGTCTCCGGCTATGGGCATATCAAGGGAGAGGCAATGCTCGAGGCATAAACCGGGAGCAGATCGCATCGAGGCGGCTGTGCATGGACAAGCAGGCAGAGCCGCTGACAGGCAGGCGTTTGGAAACCTGATAAAGTTAGACTTGATTCATCCAGGGATAAATTCACTGCTGCGGGTGCAAGGCTGAAACGCTCCTGGCGCTC